CTCCCATTCTCTGCCCGGCTTTGATCTCTGCTTAACAACAGTAACGTCACACGGACTACAGGGGAGTTTTGTTGAAGTTGCAAAGTCCTGGAGCCTCCAGAGGGCTGTCGGCGCAGTAGCAGCGAGCAGCACAGTCCGCGCGCTCCGGCGAGTGCAGAAGAGCGCAAGGCAGCCAGCGCGAGAGCCGAGCGCGGACCGAGCCGGGACCCACAGCCCCCGCAGCCGCCCAGGCAGAGCCCACCATGGAACACCAGCTTCTGTGCTGCGAGGTGGAGACCATCCGCCGCGCGTACCCCGATGCCAACCTCCTCAACGACCGGGTGCTGCGGGCCATGCTCAAGGCGGAGGAGACCTGCGCGCCCTCGGTGTCCTACTTCAAGTGCGTGCAGAAGGAGATCCTGCCGTCCATGCGGAAGATCGTGGCCACCTGGATGCTGGAGGTGCGGGGCTGCGGGCGGCTCTCCTAAGACTTCCCTACCACTTGTTGCCTAAACCCACATTTCTTTGCTCCTCGTGTCTCTCCCTTCTCTCCCGCTAGAACTTTGAAGTTTGCCGGGATGTTGCTAGGAATCCGTATTTTCAAAATAAATAGATATTGTGGGTATTTTTTTGAAAGATGAAAGGGTGGGGGTGGGGGCGTTAGAAATTCTCTTTCCTGGTGGGGGGAGGGAGGTGGTCAGGGAGGGGTGCCATCGGGGAGGCCAGTGCCAGGGGTACCCCAGTGGGCCCAAGGGTTCGGGCTGGCAGTCTGGGCGCGCTCTGAGGCCCCCGCCTGCTCCCCAGCCCCGCTGCGCCTCCTCTCCCGGCCGCCGCGGCCCCGAGCCGCCAGCTCCGGGGGGAGGGGGTATAGATTGACTTTTAAATTAATATCCAGGGACACGTATGCAAGGGCTGCTTGAGCCAGTATTATGCGCCATCTTTGCTTTTTTATTGCAAAGCAAAAGTGTTTATTAATAATTGGGGGCAGGGTGGGGGCGGGGAGCGACCGGCCCCGCGCTGGGGCCGCTGCAAGGGGCCGCGCGGCCGCCGGGAGCCCGCGCAAGGGGAGCGGGGGGAATCGGCATGGGTAGTTTGGGGGGGACCCTGCTCGGAAAGGGGGGACCCTTTGTTCAAGCAGCGAGCCCTGGGGCGCCCCGCACGGGCAGCCTGGGCCGGAGAGCACGCCGGGCTGCAAGGTCGCGTGGCCCCCAAGACGCCAGAGATTGACCCCCGGCTGCAGGGGTCTCGGCTTGGGGGACCTTTCCTGAGCAAGCTGGGGGCCCGGGGCACATTTTCAGGTGTTCAGCGGGCGCCTGAGGGGTCCGCAAGTATTTTTAAATAATTTTTGAAAGTGCGGCGTGGTGCCCTTGCGAGAGGGAAACGGCGCCCGCGCCCAGGGGACAGGGGGGCCCTGGAGTTTGAATTCCTAGGACTCTCGCCGGAGCCCGTAACGAGCTCCCGACCCCCGGCCTGGGTAAAGGACCGTCCGAGGGTCATTTTCAGGGGTTTTGTACGCACCCAGTTATTTTTTTAATATTTTTAAATATTTTTTGAAAAGATGACGTCTGGGGAAATGCGGCTCGGCGGCCTGGGACGCCACCTTTGTGTCTCGCAGGCACGGCGCCCAGCCTCGCGGCCCGCCCAGCGGCCCTGCACCCGAGCGAGTGCCGATCCCCAGCTAGGCGGACCCCGGAGCTCCACCGCGGGCCGGGGTCTCCGGGGTCGGCAGCCTGCGCCGCCGCGCACGCCGCCCGGCCGTGCCCGCTCCCGCCCCCGCCGTGCCAGCCTCGTGGGGACTTTCCCTTTCAGTTTCGGGGAGGGTGGGTACTGGGGACACGTGGAAAGGGGGCGCATCCCAAGAAGCTTCTGTCGCCCTCTGTCCCGACCCTCGGCGCCCCCGAGGACTGGGAGCCCCGGCCGGCGGGGTGGGGGTGCGCGTCGCCGCGGCGGGGGGAGGGGGGCGGCGCTCCCTGGCGGCGGCCGTCACGGCCCGTGCCCCGCAGGTCTGCGAGGAGCAGAAGTGCGAGGAGGAGGTCTTCCCGCTGGCCATGAACTACCTGGACCGCTTCCTGTCGCTGGAGCCCGTGAAAAAGAGCCGCCTGCAGCTGCTGGGGGCCACTTGCATGTTCGTGGCCTCCAAGATGAAGGAAACCATCCCCTTGACCGCCGAGAAGTTGTGCATCTACACGGACAACTCCATCCGTCCCGAGGAGCTGCTGGTAACGGGGGCTCGTCTCCACCGCGGACCCTCCGTGGACACCCCGTTAGCCGCAGGACCCCGGGTGGGGGGAGGTGCAGATGGCAAGAGACGCGGCGCCTCTGACAGATCTCCCCCGAGGGAGGAGGGAGCGCGGCCACACCAATTGCTCAGGGCTTCTGTCGTAGGGGCCGGATCCCGGCGCCCCCATACTGCCGCCCGCACACCTCACCCGACTCCCACCGCGTGCGAGCCCCGCGCGTGGCCCAAAAGTGGGCGGCGCGCGCCCTCTAGCGGCGGCGCGGAGGCCGCGCTCGCTGCTGCGCGCCGGGTCCAGGTGGTGGGAGGTCTTTTTGTCTCCACTTTGCGGACAGGCTTTCCTCGGGGCACCTTTTCCGTTTTTATCTGGAATCGTGTGTTACCCCCGCTTTCCGGACCCCGCAACAGTCGCCATCCCTCCTCTCCCACCCCCAAGACTGCAAACCAAAGGCTGAAGCCAGAGACCTGAGCCCGCGGGGTCCCCAGGCCTCCTTTCTCCCTGGCCTGACGCCTGTGCCCTGGTCTCCGCAGCAAATGGAGCTGCTCCTGGTGAACAAGCTCAAGTGGAACCTTGCTGCGATGACCCCGCACGATTTCATCGAACACTTCCTCTCCAAAATGCCCGAGGCCGAGGAGAACAAACAGATCATCCGCAAACATGCGCAGACCTTCGTGGCGCTCTGTGCCACAGGTAGGGCAGGCCCAGCACCCACCCCAGCACCCCTGAGAAGGACCGTCGGGGCGGCCCTGGTGCCCCAGGTGGCCCTGGCCAGTTTCTTGTTCTGTGCCTGGGTCTGCCGGCCCGTCTGTCCCCAGAGATGGTCCCACGTGCCCTCCTGCTCTGGGAAGAGCTCCCCTTCCCTTGCCCTGTGAGCAGAGGGCTGGGACTGTGTGTTGCAATTGGATGGAGGGTGGGTTGCCCTCTCCAGGCCATCATACGGTGCCTTGGGGACGGAGTGGATGGCCCAGCCTGCCTGTGTCTAGCTGCCGTGGCGTCCCTGCCCAGGCCAGGCAGTTTGTGTCCACTCCATGCTGAAAGGGGTTTACCTTGGCTGCCAGGCAGCCTCCCCCACCCCCGCACCCATCTCTGGCCGTTCTTGTGTCCTCAAGGAGCCTGAGCTGTGGGGGCCCCTCCTGATCTCTCCCCGGCTGGGCCACCTGCCAGGGGCGCCTGCACCACGTGCTCCTGCAGCCGAGTGCGGGGGCGTCCAGCAGAGGAGCTCAGAGGCTGAGGCCCTGCTAGGGGCCCTGTGGGCCGGCTGGACTCAGCTGAGCCCTGGGAGGGGCTGCAGTGCAGCCTGGGCTTGGGCCACCACGGTTGGCAGCAGAGGAGCCCAGCCCTAGCATGGCCCCCGGAGGCCCCTCCCTGGCATGGCCCTGGCCCCAGACCCCAGGCAGCCAGACTGTCGGAACCCAGTATGGACAGACACACACAGCCCACCATGCTGCCTCCTGCCCTCAGCCTTGCCTTGGACTCCCTGACCTCTTCCTTCCTCAGCCAGGAGGCCCAGTTACCCTACTGGGGGGACTCATGCCCCCATCCCACCCAACTCTGCCGTGGCCCAACTCTCGCCTTGGTCGGGCCTCGGTTGTCACATCTGTTTGGGGAGTCACTCTGGATGACCTGAGGGCCATGAGGCAAGGTGGCTCAAAGGGACAACTGGCATCTTTGTCCACCTCCCCAGAGCCCCCAAGCCTCTCAGTGCACCCCCTGACATTGGTAGCCCTGGTGGCTGGTGTTCCAGAACTGTGTGTTTTAGGTGAGAGTTGCGAAGATTCCTGTGCCTCCCCTCCCTCCTCCACCTGCTCAGGGCATGGACCCTTCCCTGGAGTCCTTCCAGGCAAGGCCTGGGGGGGTGCAGATGGGGGTGCCAAGGACATCATCGGCCTGGATGGATGGGAGGGTGGGGCTGGCCCTGCAGGCGGCAGGGAGGCATTCTCTGGCTGGGGCGCCTTGGAGGAGAGAGGCCTCCGGAGACTCCAGGCAGCCTTTTATGGAGCTGAAAGTGGTTTAGAGAAACGGCAAAGTTTCCTGGAGATAATGCAAGGAACGGTTCTTGCACAGCCTCCCTCCCGCGTGGCTCAGGCAGCTGGAGCGCCCCTCCCAGGACTTGGGTGCTGGCAGCAAGGTGAGCAGGCAGCGGCTGCAGTGGGGCTCTCCGCACTGCTGCGTGTCCTTTGAGACAGGCCAGCAGGCGCCCCCAGCGGCAGGTAAAAGCGGAGGATCGCTCAGGTGACAAAGTACTCCCAGCCACGGTGTTCGCTCCAGGATGAGGCTGAGTTGGGGCAGCACATGTCTGCCAGGTCCCTGCCTGGCCTGAACTCTGTCCCCGTGGGGTGCTCCCTGGGCCCTGCCTGCCCCACTGAATGTAACTGCAGTACAACCCCTTCCTTAGCCATGGTGCACATCTGTCAAGATGAGAGTGACATAAGGACAGGTGAGGTGGAGGCATCCCGGTTTTGTCCTATGGTTAGGGTTACCTTGGAGGGTGAAGGGAGGGGCGTTGCTCCCCTTTCTCCCTGCCCAGGCGCCCCCCAGCATACACACAGGGTTCCCAAGCGTCACACAGGGTTGGGTTTTCCGCGCACACGTACACCTGTGCGCACCAGAGCCTTTCTTTGCACCGCGGTAGGCTGGGAGGGGAAGGTCCAATGCCATCTGAAGTGGACATGTCCTTGAGCTTGACGAGCAGGCCCTGGCCAGGGCCAGCAATGCCAGAGAGCTCTGCTGACCACTGTGGCTGTGGCTGACCCTTCTGAGCAGGCAGCAGAGGGGCTAAGTCCTGGAGCTTTGGCGCTTAACACCGATTGCTCCTTGCCCGGACACGGAAGGCTGCCCCCATCCGGGCACACACACGAGTGGGGGACATGGGCTTCAGAGTCGAGCTGGCCCCCGTGACTCCACCCTGCATGCACCCACAGAGGGGTCTCCATGCAGGACCAGGCGGAACCCGCCATTCCCTGCAGAAGCGATTCTGTGTATGGTCCTCATTTGCCTCAGTGAGAAGGTTTCCATCCACGGCCCCTGGCTCCCGCTGGGTGGACTCTCCCACTTAGAGGAGAAGGAGGTGGCTCGCCTTGTTAGAATTTCTTTTTAAGTCATTACAGCGCCCAGAAGCCACTTCGTCTCCCCTCCAGGGTGGTTGCCTTTCTTCCTGGCCCCTCACCAGAGCCCCTCTCTCCCCAAGACCCAAGTGGTTTATTCTCTTGGAGGGAACTCTCAGGTGGGCTCCCCCCTCCCTTTGTGCCTGGTTCAGCCCTGTTGAGCTCCCCTGAGCCCCCTTGTTCCCAGACACCCTGTGGCGTGATATAAGGCAGTGAGGCTGAGAAGATGTCACACTCGTCCCCAGTGGCATCCAGCTCCAGGCCCGGGGCACCTGGTTTATGTGCTGAAATTGGTGGCCGCCCCCACCAGTAATTATTCGGTGCGACAGGAAGGCAGCCAGAGGCTCGTCCTGGGTGGGGGCCAGGCTGAGAGGCTACATCCCACCTGGCTGACCCACCCTTCCATGTGGGCGCGAGATTGCCCTGGGGAAGGAAAGCTGGCGTCCCACCCACAGACAGGGCACACGATCTGGGGCAGAGCTGGCTTTCAGTCTGCTTGAGGAGGGAGTCCTAATGGGATCCCAAGATCCCCGCTGCTACTGTGGCCTGGGAGGAAGATGAGCCCAGGCATCTGACAGCAGTGACCAGAGACAGCTTTGTGTGGGTGGCAGGCTGCGGCCACCCTGACTTGGCACTGCCTTGGGTGTGCGGGACAGTCCCCAAGAAGCCCAGGGACCAAGGGCTCCTAGGCCAGCTGGGGTCTGGGCTAGGTCTCTTGAGACCCCACATTTCCCGCCCTGGGGCCCCACTTGTGGAGAGGCCGTGGGCAGCTCCCGCGTAGCTGCCTGGCTACCCGCCCCTGTGTCCCAGAGAGGCCTCGTACAGCGACAGGTGGTAGAAACCACGTGCCTCTTCCCTAACTCGGGAAGTTGCTGGAATTGTTGGGCTACGTCAGATGGCCCAGAAAAGCCTTTTTGTCACCAACCAGAAAACAGTGGTGTTGTGAGTAAAGGGTCTGGTGTGGCGGTGGGTTTTTTTGGTCTGTCTTCTGAAGGTCGTGGACGATGGAGTCCACTGGAGAAGGGGACACGGCTGCTGAGAGGAGCTCTTCCTTCTGGTGAGAGCTGGAACGGAGCCTCACCACCACGGCAGCCCTGGAGGACACTGGCCAGGGCTCAGCGCCTCCAGGGACGTGGGAGTGGCTCCGTCAGTGCCCTGTGGCCTGGCCTGGCCTGGCCTGGCTGGGCGGGGTCCTGGGCCCCTGTCCATGTGAAGTCCCTTCAGAATGTGACCAGTTGTCTCCAATCCACGCTGCTGGGCGGTGGCAGATACTTTGGGGTGTAGAGGCAACACCCTCTCTACTTCCTTGTATGCCTGCAGTGTCTTTCATACTACTCATTTTCGTGGATAAATGACACACTCGCAAGTTTCAAGATGCTAAAAGGAGAGAGGGCAGTGGTGTCTGTCACCCTGGCCTTGCCTGTCAGATTTTCGGGTGGGTGTTTTCTTCGTTCGCCGGGCTGTTTTTGCGTGCACGGTAGGGCTGGTGTCCAAGGTGGGTTCCTGCTCTCCTGCTTCCGGGGTGACAAGGCTGGAGGCTGGGGAGGGCCTGGACGTGGGCCCACACGCTCCCGATAGTTCCAGCCAGGCTGTGCCACTCCCTTGGAGGCCACATTTGGGGTGCCCCGAATGACGGGGTCCTGCGGAGGGTACCCTGCTCACGGCCACCTTGTCTCTCTCCCTCTGCTGCAGATGTGAAGTTCATTTCCAACCCGCCCTCCATGGTGGCCGCGGGGAGCGTGGTGGCTGCGGTGCAAGGGCTGAACCTGGGGAGCCCTAATCACTTCCTGTCCTACTACCGCCTCACTCGCTTCCTGTCCAGAGTGATCAAGTGTGACCCGGTAGGTGACGGAGACCCTGCCCTGCGTTGGTTCTGCGGGGCCTCACAGCCCGGAGACTAGGACCACGGAAATGGCATGGCTGGTGCCAGGCCCCCAAGGGTGGCAGGGTCGTGGCCACAGAGGGGGACAGGGCAGAGGCCTGTGCTCAGCGGCACAAGACCGTCCAGGATGACCAACCTGAGTGGGGCCTGGGCCCCTGGGGCTTCCAGGCGCAGGCAGAAGCCGTAACCCTCCCGGTGACCGGCCAGGAAGCGGGGCCACAGGCAGGCTCCGGCCGGTGATCCGTGTGGTAATGGTGTGTGGGGCCGGGGCCCCGCCGCGCTTTGTTCAGGCCACAATGCGCACGGTCGATAAATAGCCGCTTTAAAAGGGTTCTTGTGAGGTCTGCAGACTCCGGCCAACAGGCGAATAGAGACAACCTTGTTTTTTACGCTCTCTTTCAGAGACTGCTGCTGTAAAACCCGGAGTTGACTGTGTCTTTCTTCTTAAAATGCCGTTGTTTTATTCCCAATTCTTCCCTTTTCTTAAAGAAGGAATTAAAATAACAATTACGAGGGTTCGTGGCATTTACCAAATTAGACTAGAGAGGTTGCCGGGTCAGCCGCCGGCCCGCTGTGCGTGAGGGAGTCACCGCCCTGACCCCAGCGCGGGTCGCAGGGCCTGCCGAGGCCGGGCTCAGTGCCGGCCCGGGCGGCCCCACGGTGTCCACCCAGAGCGCCCAGGGGATGTGTGGGCCCCCGCCAGACGCGGTCTCAGGGCGCACCTGCCTGCCGGTGGTGGTCCCTCTGTCCTGGGGGGCCACGGGGTCCTGCTGGCTGCCCAGCCTGTGCTCTTCTCACTCTGAAAAGGAAGAAGCACTTTTGCGACGGCCGCTGGGGGTAGGAGGGCGCCCCTCCCTCTGTGCCACCCTGCCTGGCTTCAGCCTGGGGCAGAGTGTCCTCGCTGCCTGCTGGGCGGGGACAGCAGCTCGGGAAAAGGGCCTCGGTTAGAGGCTCCACTGAGGCCCGGAAAAGCCCGGCCGGCGGATGAGATCTGCGTCTTCCCCCCTCATTCCCGGCCCCGCGCGCTGAGTGAGAACCGCTGCTTTCTCGGCGCTGCTCGGCCCCGCTGCCTCGGTCCGGGCGCTTCTTGCAGCGCCAAACAAGGCACGTCTTCAGGCAGTTGCCGGAAATGGCTGCGTTGTCCCTTATTTGAATAGAGGTTGTCTTAATTGGGTCTGAAGTGAAATGCCTCACAGCTGGCGCGGGGGAGCTTAATTGAGGCTGAATTTGCTCTGGTTTCCAGCGGCAGATGCAGCTGTACCCAGACTCGGAAAAACCCTCGGCATGTTCTAGGACTTTGTCTGGCGGACGGAATGTCCGTCCTTTGCGAGTCGCGTGTGCTGTGCCACACGTCAGTAATCGCGTGTCCCTTTTCATGGAGAAGTGTTCAGCGCCTCTGGCCGTGGGGCCGGACAGAGCAGGCGGGAAGGGCACAGGTCCAGCTCCGTGTGTGGGCTTGAGGGACCATGGTCACGTGTGGGGGCCACTGGGCACAGGGAGGCTGGAGGGACTCCCCTTCCTGCAGCCCTGAGGTGCCAGGGGCACCGGAGAACTGTGTGTGAGGAGTTGGGGGTGGCACTGCCGGGCCTCTCGGGATGGGAACTGAGGGTGCCTGGTGTTTGGGGTGGAAACCTGGGGCAGACCGCAGGCCTTGTGGGCCTCGGTTTCCCCTCTGTTCAGTGGGGCCATTTGCACTAGCCCTGTTGCCCTCGTTTGCCGTGACGGGCATTTATCCAAAGGAGGGTGAGCAAGGCTCCTGTCAAGGCGTGGAGCTCTGTAAAGGCGGGCGACCCAGGGATTCGCCTAGAAGCCATTCCGGCTGGGTCCTCTTCTGTCGGACAGCACCTGCATCCAGGCCCCTGGTAGGAGGTCCAGCAGTGCCTCTGCGACCCGTGGCGGCTGAACCCCGTTCCCTGCGGGAAAGGTTGTGTTTCCAGGCTGAGTAGAGATGTTGCTTGGTTTGAGAAGCCCCAGTGTAGCTTCCTGGCAGTTGGGACGTACACGACCCGGGCACCTGCTCCCGTTTCTTTATTCGGAAGCCACCCAGCAGCAAGAAGCAGCTCGGAGCTACTGGGAGAGTTGCCCCTAGTGGAGACTGGGAGAGTTGCCCCTGGGCACCAGGCATCCCAGCAGGGGTAGCGGTGCAGGGCTTCCAGGAGCTTCTGTCAAACTCTGCCCAGGGGCGGGCACCTCTGTGGCTGCAGCAGGCGGATGCAGGCCCTGCGAGGCTGGTGGGAGGCCCAGCACGAAGGCCTGAATGGATAAAGGGTCCAGGTGCCCCCGGGCCACCCAACATTCATCCTCGGTCACACAGGGCCTAACACTTCTCACGGCAGCTTATCGTGGGAGACTAGGTTCACCTCAAGGGCTGCTATGTGGCAGAGGTTAAATCTGAAAATGCTGGGCTCAGAGCGTCCCCCCAACACACCTGTCCTGGATCAAATGCTGTAGAGTCACCAGGGCGTCAGTGGGGCAGATGCAGAGAGCCCAGGGCCCCCTGGAGGAATTGCAGCAAGAGACCTGGCCCCGTTTCACAGGCAGAGCAGCACGGGGTGGGCGTCTGGTGTCTGCGCGGGCCACAGAAGCGTCTGGGGTTAGCCTTGCTCTTACAGAAGCCTTCCGGGTCATGGCACTTGGGGGAGGGGCCCTCACTGCAGGCTCCCTCTAAGGACCGGCTCTCTCCTCCTCCCCCCACCCTGTCTCCCAGGACTGCCTCCGGGCCTGCCAGGAGCAGATCGAAGCCCTGCTGGAGTCGAGCCTGCGCCAGGCCCAGCAGAACTTGGACCCCAAGGCTGCAGAGGAGGAGGAAGAGGAGGAGGAGGAGGTTGACCTGGCTTGCACACCCACCGACGTGCGGGACGTGGACATCTGAGGGCGCCGGGTGGGCGGGGCGCCGCTGCCACCCGCAGCGAGGGAGGAGCTGGCCCCAGGTGCCCCCCATGACGCAGTCCCGCTTCTCCGGGACATTTCACTACCAGAAGGGAAATCTTCATTCTCCCCGTTGTTGGTTTTTTTCCCTTTGCTCTTTCTCCCTTCCGTCTCTGACTTAAGCAAAAGAAAAAGATTACCCAAAAACCGTCTTTAAAAAAGGAAGAGAAAAAATAGTATTTGCATAACCCTGAGTGGTGGGGGAGGGGGGTCGTGCTACAAAAATAGAGGATTTTATACCCCAGTAATCAACTAGCTTAATATTAATGTGCTCATGTCTCTGTGTCGTAAGAATAGACATTAACACAAAGGAAGAGTCTTGGGGGAGGATTAGGTTTGATTCTTTATGTGTTTAAATTTAAAAAGCATAAAAACATTTAAAAAAATAGAAAAACTCAAACCATTTTTAAAGTAGAAGAGGGTTTTAGGTAGAAAAACGTATTCTTGTGCTTTTCCTAGAAAGCGCAGCTTTAGTGTGGTTCTAGGCATCTCTGTATCTCGCTTTGCTCACGCATGTAGTCACTTTATAAGTCATTTGTATGTGTATTTTATTTTGTAGGTAGATGTGTAACCTCTTCACCTTATCGTGGTTGATGTAACCTCTTGGCTAGAGTAGCGTAGCGTGCAGCATCTCGCGCGCTCACACCTCGCGCCCGCGGCCCCGCCGCGTGGGGTCTGCCGGGCGCCAGCCAGCGTGGCGGTATCGGGAAAGCGCAGCTCTTCCACTCCTACGATACGCTACTAGAAAGAGAAAACGAAATAGTGACATAATATATTCTATTTTTATAATCTTCCTATTTTTGTAGTGACCTGTTTATGAGATGCTGGTTTTTCACCCAATGGCCCTGCAGCCAGCTCACGTCCAGGTTCAACCCACGGCTACTTTTGTGTTTTCCTTCTCAATATTCCAAAACCATTCCATTTCAAAGCACTTTCAGTCCGGTAGTTCTAGGGAATATCGCTGTTTCTGTTGTGTGTGCAGGGAGGGCAATTTTTTAATGGAATGGTTTGGGAATATTCACGTACTTGTGTGCAAGCAGGATTGCGAAGCAAGTGCATGTCACTGCGGTGTCAGCGGAAGGGTGTTTGGGAAGGCTTTGTTCCAGTCGAGAAGAACAGGATTTGTATTCTCACACTGCCAGGATGACGAGTTCCTTTCCTTTTCTTTGAAGAGGTTGAAGTGTAGGGACCCTTTGGTGCCAACTGGTGTTTGAAAGTGGGGACCTCAGAGGTTTACCTAGAGAACAGGTGGTTTAAAGGTTATCTTTAGATGTTTCACAACGGAAGGTTTTTAAACACTAAGATATATAATTTATAGTTAAGGCTGAAAAGAATATTTATTGCAGAGGATGTTCATAAGGCCAGTATGATTTATAAAGTAATGCAATCTCCCCTTGATTAAAACACACACACACACACACACACACACACACACACCTACCTTTCTGCCTTTGATGTTGCAGATTTAATACAGTTTACGATAGATCCTTTTATAGGTGAGGAAAAAATCTCAAGGAAAACCACACAAAGACAGTGATTCGGCATTTCCCAAAGCGATATGATCTGAGAGGTATCGGAGTTACAAGGAAAATTAGGGTACTGGAAACAAGCTCAGTTAGGGTATATTCTGATCCCCGCGTGTCCCCCCTTTTACAAAAAATTAGCAACAAACAGATAATTTGCACATCTTGGCTATGACCTTTTTGTGATTTTTATTTAGGGGGTGTTGAAGGGAGGTGGCGAGAGCGTTGAGGCTGGTGCGTGGGGGAGGACGGGAGGGAGGGGTGTGGGCAGGAGGCTCCCGAGGGGACGGGGCAGTGACCACACCAGGGACAGGCTGCGGCTCCGTTTTCTTATTGCGCTGCTACCGATGACTTCCCGGCACGGTTTGGAAACAAGTTCACATCGCTTCTCTGTATCTCTTTCACATTGTTTTGCTGCTATTGGAGGATCAGTTTTTTGTTTTACAATGTCATATACTGCCATGTTCTAGTTTTAATTTTCTCGTAGGACATTGTATTACAGATGCCTTTTTTGTAGTGTTTTTTTTTTTTTTTATGTGATCAATTTTGACTTAATGTGATTACTGCTCTATTCCAAAAAGGTTCCTGTTTCACGATACCTCATGCTTCACTTAGCCATGTGCAGACCCGGCGGTCAGGCTCTGTCTGCTGCGGCAAACAGACACGCGGACGAGATCCCACGCGGGCCTGGTGGGGTCGGCACCCAGACCGTGTGCTCGAGAACCACGTGGGCGCCTCAAGACCAAGCTGTGTCCGTTTTCTTTTCCTGCGCCTGTTATGCTGGATTCTCCGTCTGATCTGGGATGTATCATCATAGTAGACTTCACAGCTGTATCGTTCTGTGCGTGTAGCTATGAAAGTTGCATTATTATTATTATTATTATTATTGTAATAACAAGTGTGTCTTACGTGCCACCGTGGTGCTGTGCCCGTAGGACGCTGTCATTCGGGATGATTGGAATAGCTTCTGGAATTTGTTCAAGTTTTGGGTGTGTTTAATCTGTTACGTACTAGTGTTCTGTCTGTCGTCGTTTTGTTAATTACAGCATAATGCTAATTTAAAGAGACTCCAAATCTCAGTGAAGCCAGCTCACAGTGCTGTGTGCCCAAGTCGCCTAGCAAGCTGCCAAACCAAAAGAATTTGCACCCATTTGTGGGCCCACGCGCTGGGGCCCTGCCCCCGCAGGGTGGTCTGTGCCTAGAGGCCTTCGCAGGCACAGACCCGTCCCTGCCACCAGCCCCTCCGAGCACTGCTTACGCTTGCCTCAGCCAGTCTGGGTGCAGCGTCTGTGTCTGAAGCGCATGGGGTCCCCGCGGGGTGGTCTATCCGTAGTGACGGGGTGAGGGCACGTGTCTTGGATGTTGTGTGTGCCAAGAGGCCAAAGGCTGGGGGCAGTTCCACAGGGCACAGCCGAGTCTCTGTCCTGGGACGCGTACGTCTGTCGGGGTCTCTGGTTGACGGGCAGTTTGGGTCTGTGTGTTGCACACCGTGGCACTTCCCAGCACGGACATGTAACCGGCACGTTTCCAGCAGAAAATAAAATACAAATATGGAAAGTCTAGAAATAAAATTGGTAAAACCCCAGTGCAGTGCCCGTCTGTTTATTTCCTGGGCTGGCAGGATGCCAGGTGCATGGGGACCAGGGAGGGGGTGGGGCCAGGTCACCTGTCCTGTGCACTGTAGGAAATGCAGCAGCATCCCTGTCCTCCACCCACTAGAGGACAGTAGCGCCACCCCGGCGTGACAACCAAGAATGTCTTCTGACTGCCACATGTCCCTGGGGGCAAGGGCAGACTCTACCCAGGATCCTGTTTTGCTCCCCCAGCTGGGAGGAAACCTGGGCCACAGGGTGTGGGGTGGTCGCCTGGACCCCAGGAGGCTGCAGAGAAGAGTTTGCAGGTGGCCTGGGCAGGCGAGGAGCCCACTTCTGCGTCAGACAGCAGCTCCTGGCCTGGGTGACATCTTCCAGCCCTCTCGCCAGTTTGCAGTCCCAGGTTATTTGCAGATAGGAAAATAAACACACCAGCATTCGTTACCCTCTTCTGGCGCAAACTGCTGTTTGCTCTGAGTGAATCATGGTCCTCAGAGCAAAGTGCCGGGTTAGGGCCGAGGTCCGGGCGCCTTTCGCATGGACCCCGGGAACCTGCCGGACACCTGTGGATTTCAGATGCACGAGGCGGGGCTCATCTCCATGCGCCGGGGCCCTGGGGCGCATTGCAGATCTTGGTCACAGCTTCACAGGCCTGGGCCTCCCCTCGGCCCTGACCCCCCTGCACTCCCCCCACCCCCGTGTGTAATAGGCTGAGCTGTCCTCGCCCGGGGCACCTGTCTCCTGAGCTAAGGCGGTCACTACTTGCCAGCCTGTCAAACCCAGGTGGCCTTTGTGGTGAAGCCCCTGTCGTGTCCCTCCCTGCTCTGCTCTGGGTGCTCATGGTGGGGACCGGCGTGGCTGGTGCGTTGTTTCTCCACGGGTACCTGCACTTCTGGAAGGAAGGGGGGGCACGGAGGGGGACAGCTGGTGGTCACCACCGGCCTCTCCCCTCAGGGTGGGGCCCCAAGCCGGGTGGGTAGGGGAGCCTGCAGGGTGCCCGGGACAGGAGGTGCCATCCGCAAGACCTCCAGGGACAGGTGGAGCCAGAGTTGGCGCCAGTGGCCACTCAGGTGGCTCAGGAGGGACCAGCCCACTGGTGGGCAAGGTGCCCCGAAGGCAGGGAGCAGGGCCCCACTGCTGCAGCTGTCTGGCTCCAGCAAGGGCCCGTCCTGTGCCAGGGCTGGGGATGCAGGGAATGGACATCCTGCCCTCAGGCCATCTCCCCACAGCAGTCCCCAATGATGACCTCGCTGGTGAGTGGGGGCCTCGGGTGTTCAGGGGCAGCCGGGGGGCAGGGGTGGAGGAGGGAGCAGGAGAGCTGCTGCGCAGGCCCTGGAGGTGGCTGGTGGAGAACGCCTGGGTCAGGGAGCTCTTTTGTTGTTAAGCTTTTTTTTGAGACAGAGTCTCACTCTGTTGCCCGGGCTAGAATGAGTGCTGTGGTGTCAGCCTAGCTCACAGCAACCTCAAACTCCTGGGCTCAAGCGATCCTCCTGCCTCAGCCTCCCAAGTAGCTGGGACTACAGGCATGTGCCACCATGCCCGGCTAATTTTTTCTATATATTTTTAGCTGTCCGATTAATTTCTTTCTATTTTTAGTAGAGACAGGGGTCTCGCTCTTGCTCAGGCTGGTCTCGAACTCCTGAGCTCAAACAATCCGCCCGCCTCGGCCTCCTAGAGAGCTAGGATTACAGGCGTGAGCCGCGCCCGGCCTTGTTGTTAAGCTTTTTAAGACGGAAAAGAGACCCGCAGCTGCTGGGTGTGACCGAGTTGCGGAAGCAATGCATTGGCTGGGGGAGACAGAGCCCGTGTGCCCAGCAGAGGGCTGGGGCAGGGTCAGAGTGGGCGCACCTGGGGACGCAGCAGGGGACACACGTGCCTTCAATGGAGAGTGCAGAGAGGGAGGCGTCCCCATCTCCCCAAGCCAGTCTCTCCCTCTTGGCCTCCGACGCCGGAGTGAGGAGGGGGCCCTATAAGGCTCCCCCGTGGGTTATGCAGCAAGACGCCACTCTGGGCCCATTCCCAACCCTCAAACTTAACCGACATCACCCGGGCACCTGCGACCCCTCTTGGGATGTGGCGAAGGCCCCCTCGCCTGCCAGGGTGTCTGGCCCCTCAGTTCATGGAAACTGGCCTCGGAATAACCTCAGAGACAAAGCCTTTGGCTCTCCCCGCTGACCCTTCTAGAAGCTTTTCTCACGCAGCCCCATCACCCCACCTACTCCTGACCGGTCCCTGCAGCCAGGCAGCTCCGTCCACGCTCCACCCTCTCCTAACCCTGTGTCCTTTCGGCTCTGTCCAAGGTCCCCAGGACCTGGCCCGTCTCTCCCAGCCTCGGCTCCCCTGAGCTGACGTCTCTGCCCCTGGGCTCCCGACGCACTGGACAGCTTCGGGCTCCCAGGTGTGTGCCTGTCCCACTGCCCCGCTGCAGTGCCCTTCAGCCCTGCGTGTCCCTCAAGCTCAGTGTAACGATGGCCTCTCTGAAGGCTTCCTGCCCCCACACCAGGCGGGTGGCTCTGGGAGTCCAAGAATCGTGCCTGGTGTTTGCTGTGCCCGCTGAGCCCCTGGGGACAGGCTGCTCATCCCTCTCTGCCTCCCTGCTTCTGCCCTGGCGAGCAGTAGGCGCTGAGCAGTGGGGCTGAGCAGCAGGCAGGCGGCCCAAGCTGCTGTGCTGTGCCGCAGAGTGACAGCCCTGCCTGCCCGGGGTGCTGGGGACTGACTCCACTGTTGGGAGGGCCAGGGGCCTCCGGGGGCCCAGGGAGCATGCACAGTCATCATGACAAGGGACAAAAGGCCCCAAGGACACAGAGGGAGAGGCCGGGCAGAGCAGAGCAGGCACATGCACTGCGCTTGTGGAATGATGGCGGGAGGGGCTGTCACAGAGGAAGGTGGGCAGCACGGTGAGACTCCAGAGGAGCCGGAGGCGGTGGTGGCCAGCCTCCCTGCGCTCCCTCCAAGCTGCCCCAGCTGCTCTGCCTGCGGTGTGACTTTCCTTGCAGCCCCCCAGGAAGCAGAGTCAGAGTCTCGCTCCTGCAGCCTTGGGGCCTGGCCTCTGCGTTCGGTGGGGACGTCTGTGTGGCCTCCTAGCACCCGCTCCATCGCTGGTCGCACCACAGGGCCAGTCCCAAGAGTCACCGCTGCAGCGAGGGCCAGCAAGGGCAGGCCTGTGCAGGGCGGCAGCATGGGGTGTGCGTCCAGCACGCTGGGCCAGCCTTGCAGCTCACAGGGCTCTGTCATCCCAGGAATGTCTTTGATCAAGAGTTTATGCAAGAGGGGAGAGAAAGCCCAGGACCTCTAATCCGTTCCCACAGTCCCCTTGCCCGCCGGGGCCCCACAAGCCCAGCGCCACACCGCCAGGCCGGAGCAGACAATAGCCGGCGGACGGGTGGGCGGGCAGCTCCGGGGCCGCTGGCCTTGGGGCCCACATCCGGGGGCATTGTCACCGCCACTCACAGGGGCACACAAGGAGGACTGGGAAGAGAGAACACGGAGCCCTCTGCTGAAGGGGCTTCGGTGGGCCCTGAGCCTATCAAAGGCGGCGGTGTCCATTAATCCTTTTAATTTTCACCTAGCGGCGGCTGAGACGAGCCTCTCAACTGGCAGCCACTTTAAGAGCCGAGTGGCCTAACCCGAGGACCATCCCGTATTCTGGAGGCCAGGCCCTCCGAGCACGTCAGGGGCAGGCCCTCTTGCCTTTGTCTCATCTTGGGAGGGTCACAGCTGCTGGAACGTACTGAGCAAGTCCAGTGGACCAGGCACTGCTCAACGCCGAACACACAGTTCCTCCCCAGATCTTGAAACAGCGGCGGGTCGGGGGCAGGCAGGGGAACCGCTGCGAGAGAGACAGGCAGGGGCCTGGGCTCTCACAGGTACAATCGCCCCATCTGCTGGGTCAGGGGTTGGCAGACGTTTCTGTCCAGGGCCAGGCAGGGGATGCTTTAGGCTTTGCGAGCCGCACGGTCTCTGTCACGACCCGTCAACCCTCCCGCTGCAGCCCCAGAGCGGCCACCCACACTGCGTGGGTGGGCAAGCGTGGCCGTGTACCAACAGAGCTTCCTCTACAAAAATAGGCAACAGGCTGGATCTGGGCGTTCATTTGCCGACCCCTGTTGTAGATGAGTAAACCAAGGCCCAGAGAGGTGAAGCAGCCGAGCCAGGATCACACAGCCAATGTGTGACCTTGTACTCCTGCCACTGGGGGCACAGAGAAGGAAGGGCTCCAGGTCTTCAAAAACCGGCTTGAAGAGAACGCACAAAGCCTTCTTTGGACTGTTTTCACCCAAAGGCTGGTGCACACAACTCAGGCCGCTGCTGGCTGGGTTGACCTGTGACCAAGGCTTACAGCCACAGCCTGTGTGCCAGGGCCGTGGTTGGCTGGCCTGGAGGAGGCAGCCAGCCAGGCTGGCAGTGGACGTCTGAGGGTGACCAAATGTTTAAAAAGAAAACTCGCATGCATGTGTAGACACACGTTAAG